AGAAACTTCTGCCTTTCAAACAAAACTACTAAATTCAGAATGTTTGTTCTTTATGCAAGATATATGTAATGGACAATATTTAGTTCAGTTACAGAAAGAATTATTTTTCCAAAGAGAATGTGTACTCCATCCGTAAGTACTTCAACAACTAATACCGAAGCAACCATTAAAACTAGAATGAGGTAATATGGCTAATTTCAACAGCTTTTCATAATATTAAAGACTCCAATCCAATTCTCAGATTTTTTTTTTATCAGAGAACCTCAAATTTTTTGTATCCCCAGATAAATATTATGTTGTGTATATAACTAAGCTCCAATACTGACAGCTAGAAGTTGGAACCCAGACAATCTGGTGCCTCTAAATGTTGGATAAAACTGAGTTGTGAGAAGAAATCAGCACAAAAGTTCACATAGTAGTTCAAACACTACGTATCTATGAAGCAAAACCTGGTTCTTATTCAATCTAAGCAAAAAGCCGAGAGCAAGTTGAATTTTCCAGAGTTTTTCTTGGTAATTATAACAATTTCAATCAAATTTTGCCAAAATCATTTCGCACAATCTTATTGCACCAAAAAAAGAAAAGTAGGATTGAATTCCTGAGGTTTCTATCAAACTGTTCAAATTCCTGAAATTCAGAAGTCCATTGATAATTCCATTCCGCAAAACTATCATCTGGAAGAAAAATCCATTCCTTTGGCGCTATGCAAGCAGCAGGGCCAAACAGCTGATTGACAATCCAAAGTTATTTATCTTTGTTTCTCCTTACAAAAATTGAACGTGGTGAAGCAAAATGAATCAGTTAAAGCATTTACCGGAGCAGGTACAAGGGATTCATCTTGTATACTAAGCATCTGGCCTAGTTTGAGGGCTGCCCCACGCATTCTGCACAGTGCAAGAGCCAAACGTTCTGCATTTTTCTCAGATAAGAATGGCGAAACGACAGATTGTTTCTCTTGCAAGTTTGGATTACCAAAAACAAGCCTTTTGGCAGATTCCTGAAATGTTCCCCACGCAAGACCTGCTCCTAGGCCAGCAAACCTTCAACAGTAATAAACTAGACATTACTTACTGAAAACCAGGAGCCAAAATAAATGCGCAGGAGCCGTGAAGCAAAGTGAAACGAGACTATCTTCCATTCCAATTTCCAGTGTTATGGTTTCATTATCATCCCAATTAGAAATTAGAACCACTATTAAATCGGAGCCCTGGAAAAGATTAAAAAGAGAGGGAGAGAGAGAGTGAACATAAAGCCGAGAGGGAAGACTGACCCGAGGGCTCTGGAGAAAGGGGTGGAGGGAACTCTCCTCTCTCTGGGTTTTCTCGGCTTTTTCCCAGACAGCGGTGGAGTCTGGGTTTGCGTTGGCGAAACCACATCGCCATCCCGGTTTGTGCCAGCACCAAGAGGGGGAGGGGGAGGCAGCCGCCGCAGTAGGATCCTCTGCCTTCAAATCTGAAGGGATTTTTCCAGCGCTGCCTCCGGAGTTGGAGGGCGCAGTGATGAGGGCCTCATTATCATCAGAAATGCATGAAACGTGTCGAATCGAATCTGATTGCGGGAGCCGCCGCAGTGGCTCGCCGCCAACGCTTCCGGGCTGTCCCCTGGTATCATCACTATTATTGATATTGTTGCTAGTAGTTGTTACAGACAGCGGGCGAATCTTGCCCTTGGTAAGTCCGGTTAGGTCGGTAGCGGAGAAAATAGTTTTCTTGACTAGGGATTGCAGCAACTTATTCCCTACTTCTCCTCCTTCCCCTTGGCTTTGGCGCAGAACATCACCAAGGGCCTCCTTCGCCACCAAAGATAATCCATTAGCAACCCGCAAGATGTCCTTCAGCCACACCATGCTCCTTCCTTTTTCATCATAACCCGGTCTTAAGAATCCCCATAACAAAAAGCTCCAATCATGTGGGGGATAATTTCAGAAACCTCCCCTGAGGTTTCTGATAATTTCACTGAGCTCCTTTAAAATTTAAAAAATTGTACATACCTCCTTTATTATTTAAAATGACAATTTTACCCTTAAATATTTTAATGAAATTATCTTATTTGGTATGCTTATATTTAGAATGAGTTTTAAAATTATTTTTTCATTTCTTTTCCTTCTTATTCTTTTTTTTTTTAAATTTTGGTCAATAAAACTGTAGAATTATCACTATTGCCTCTAGGTTTCAATAATAACCAAATGTCGAACTAGTGATTTTGTTGATGAATTAATTTTATATATAATTCAATATTTTTGCTGATCTTTATTTTCTATTTTTGGGTATTAAAATTAATAATAAATTAAAAAAAGGGTTAAAAGCACTACTAAATTATGATAATCCTACAATTTTAAAAATTTATAAACTCTAAATAAATTATTTCAATATTTTCTTTTCTATCATATAAATCTAAATTCATAATAAAATAACATAAAAAATATCATATCACAGTAATAAAATTATTATTATAGTTGTTTATCAAATAGTAGATATGTACATGAAACTTTTGGCATCCTTTTCTTATAATTATACTAAATAATTTATAATTGTATAGGAAAATAAATTAAAACTCATTTCACAAAAGCATTTTTGGGTATTCATTTAAAAAATTGTCTAAGTCAATATTATTTTAAAATTTTGTTGCTAAAACTATCAAATTAAGAGTCATAAATATAATTTTTCAAACTTTAAAGGAACTCAGTGAAATTATTAGAAAATTCAAGGGAGATTTCTGCAATTATCCCATCATGTGGAAAAGATTTGCTTTCTCTCTCTTATTTTTTTATTAAAATGCGGTATACCGTATACCTCCCAAAACATAGGCCTTGTTTGGCAAGTAAATTTTTGGCATGTTTGTCTGTTACAAATTTTTTAATAACTTTAATTACGATAACATTAAAAAATTTCTCTAAAATATTTTAAACTATACACTTCAAAATATCAAAAAATTTATACATTTCAAAAAAAATTTCTACAACTTCTATAGTAACATATAGTAAAGTTTTAGACAAAAACAAAAAAAACTCACTTGCAAAACCAAGGGTATAGTTTAAAAATTTTGAAAAGTTTTTTAAGATTACTGTAGTTAAAATTGTTAAAAAACTTGTAACAGACAAATTCGACAAAAAATATACTTGCCAAAAAGACAATCCCTTGCCTCACTTACTTTCAGAAGTTTGTAACATTATCAACCTAATTCAAAATATATTATTAAAAAACTAGTTTTTGGATAATAGAGATGACTTTATTTCATAGTTGCCCTTTTATTATAATCTCTTAATTGTCAAGATAAATCAATTTAAAATCTAGGGATAATTTCAGAAACCTCCCCTGAGGTTTCTGACATTTTCACTTACCTCCCCTGTAGTTTGAACAATTACACTGACCTCCCCTGAGGTTACTAATCCTTTACAAATTCAGTCCAAATGATTAAAATATTATTTTAGAGAGTGAAATTAGAATTTTGTACCTGATTTGTCCTTTGTGCCACATGTCCAATGAATGGCAAAGTATTACAAATTAATTAACAATTAATAAATTTTAACGAGCGTAGTTTATAGGCAAATACGTATTGCCTATTTAAAGTACCAGCTCTTTACATGTATTTTACTTTCAAACATTTACTTTATCACAAATATTTATTCTCAAATACAGATTTGTATTTACTCTCAAATATTTAATTTTTGTCAAACACAAAACCTACCAGTTTTTCTTCCGTAGAAATATTAATATAACACTTTTTCAATTTTAGTTATAAATATTTATGTATTTAACATAAATTAAATGATTCAGGATAAAATATCTATAAAGAGCCAATATTTTACTCATGTAATGGATGAAAGTCATAAAAAATTAATAGTTTATGAGGCCATTTATTTTTTAAATAATATTTAATTTATATTAAATAGATAACCTACTGATTTTTTTGCAAGAATATTACTTTAACACTTTTTAATTTTTAATTACAAATGTTAATATATTTATCATAAATTAAATATTTGAAAATAAAATATCTGTAAAGAGTCAATACTTTAAATAGGATATACGTATTTGCCTATAAACTAAGCTCGTTAAAGTTTATTAATTGTTAATTAATTTGTAATACTTTGCCATTCATTGGACATGTGGCACAAAGGACAAATCAGGTACAAAATTCTAATTTCACTCTCTAAAATAATATTTTAATTATTTGGACTGAATTTGTAAAGGATTAGTAACCTCAGGGGAGGTCAGTGTAATTGTTCAAACCACAGGGGAGGTAAGTGTAAATGTCAGAAACCTCAGGGGAGGTTTCTGAAATTATCCCTAAAATCTATTAACATTTGAAAACTTAACTGATGTACTTTTGTAACAGAAAATTATAAATATATTTTGAATTGGGCTTGGAAGTTACAAAAATTTTAAAAAAGGAAGGTGAGTAATTATTCAAAACTTTAGGGGTGCTAATTGATACTGTGAGAAAAGGAAAGATGATACGATAATTGGCCTCAAACAAACAACGTGCATGATTGAAATCGAAACCCTGAAACCATTAACCAAACGCCTCCTAACGTTATCATTTCTCCTGTTTAACGGCTCTGCTCCTCCGGCTATCAGTCATCGACAACAGTTGGAATAAACACGAACATCAGTATGGGAGGGTAAGAGAAAGTATTGCTATTCTACTCTTAATCAAAAGGGGATTCTCACATCTCAAGCGGTGCGGTTTGTCTTGTGGCGTCCTTCTTAGGGCGCGGCATTGTTGCCCGGGAGGAGGGAAAAAGAGTCTGTCAATTGCGTTCCCAAGGAGAGGAGACGAGGGGAGAGGGGAAAGGAACCATTACTGCTCTACTTGTCAAATTGCGTTGCGTCGAGGGAGGGCCATGATGGTTGGCTCTCATTTTTATTAGCGAGACATTCCAATATCGTATTTCTTCGCTCAAGCGAAAGGCCGACAAGAAAACATGCGGACCGTGTCATCGATACCAAAGGAGCCGGAGCAGGTGATGAAACAAAGAGATGGGTCCGTACTGGGAAGAAGACGATACTCAAGAGCGATCATTTTCCTGGATGCCAGAACAAGCGCTTGATCCCGCAGATCGATGGTGCACCCAACTATCGCAAGGTTTCTCTCTACCCTTCGTTTTATTTTATTTTATTTGGTCATGTTTGATGAATGTAGACTAACTTCAAATTTAGCTTTCTTTTAATCCAATTGATACATCAGGTAATCACATATTTCGGTCTTTCGTTTCTTAGCTCTAAATCTCACATCCCTGTTCACTTGATTGATTTTCTATCAGTTTGATTTTTCTTTTCCTTTTCATCTAATCAATCACTGTTAACCACCTACCATCCTTATAAATTGAAACTATACAAGTATCTTTTCAAAATAGCTGCCCAAGAAAAAGCATATAAAAATACATTAGCAGCTATGTTGGGCTTGTGTTTCTTGACTCAAACAAACTACCCTTTCTTGGCTAATGTTTCCAAGAACTTCAATTTATGTGGACTGTATGCAAAAATAACAATTTAACTGCCTTTGAGTTAATGCTGCCATGTAGGTTTTGCACCCATGTTTGACCATCCAGACACCAGAAACCAACATTCGAAGTCATACACAAACTCCATTCCTGAAATTCATCACTTGTGAGCTTGTTAAGACTGTTAATGTCAAGAACTTGCCTTGTTTCCCCAACCTAGAGGACGGTTGATTTGTCAGACATTACCTCTGTAGTAGTTCAGGATACCGATGCCCGAATTGATTGGTGGGGGAGGGATCATAACTGCATAATTTCTGATGTATTATAACCATTGTTTTGAGAATGAATCAAATGCAAAATGAGACCAACTCTTCCTTTACAAGAAGACGAGAAAAAAAGGTAGAGATTTAAAAGCAGCAAATTGAATTCTAATTCACTGAGAAAAGTTTTGATATATTACCAAATCTGTCTAGCTATAAACATTTTCCACGTAAATATCGATTTCAAATGACATTACTGATATTGTAATTATGTTATGCAGCAAATTATGTGAATATAAATGTTAAATGGTTACAATCACTGTTGATAAAAGTGGAAAGAGATGAGAGAGAGAGAGAGAAGATAAATGAGAGAAAATGATGGAAGCGGGAACCAATCCTTGAACAAAATCAGCTTAGCGTCTGAATGCTATCTATAAAGCTAGTAACAAGACTATAAATAGGCAACTTCTAACACTATTTGCAAAAGCAAGTTACTTAAGTTTACATTCCTATAAGCAAAATAGAAATAGACAAAATAACTAATTGCAGTAATACTTAATTAAGCACCAACAGACTTCATATCAAGAAAATTAGTTTGTTTAGATTTCAGTTTAAAAAGGAAGGTGAGTAATTATTCAAAACTTTAGGGGTGCTAATTGATACTGTGAGAAAAGGAAAGATGATACGATAATTGGCCTCAAACAAACAACGTGCATGATTGAAATCGAAACCCTGAAACCATTAACCAAACGCCTCCTAACGTTATCATTTCTCCTGTTTAACGGCTCTGCTCCTCCGGCTATCAGTCATCGACAACAGTTGGAATAAACACGAACATCAGTATGGGAGGGTAAGAGAAAGTATTGCTATTCTACTCTTAATCAAAAGGGGATTCTCACATCTCAAGCGGTGCGGTTTGTCTTGTGGCGTCCTTCTTAGGGGCGCGGCATTGTTGCCCGGGAGGAGGGAAAAAGAGTCTGTCAATTGCGTTCCCAAGGAGAGGAGACGAGGGGAGAGGGGAAAGGAACCATTACTGCTCTACTTGTCAAATTGCGTTGCGTCGAGGGAGGGCCATGATGGTTGGCTCTCATTTTTATTAGCGAGACATTCCAATATCGTATTTCTTCGCTCAAGCGAAAGGCCGACAAGAAAACATGCGGACCGTGTCATCGATACCAAAGGAGCCGGAGCAGGTGATGAAACAAAGAGATGGGTCCGTACTGGGGAAGAAGACGATACTCAAGAGCGATCATTTTCCTGGATGCCAGAACAAGCGCTTGATCCCGCAGATCGATGGTGCACCCAACTATCGCAAGGTTTCTCTCTACCCTTCGTTTTATTTTATTTTATTTGGTCATGTTTGATGAATGTAGACTAACTTCAAATTTAGCTTTCTTTTAATCCAATTGATACATCAGGTAATCACATATTTCGGTCTTTCGTTTCTTAGCTCTAAATCTCACATCCCTGTTCACTTGATTGATTTTCTATCAGTTTGATTTTTCTTTTCCTTTTCATCTAATCAATCACTGTTAACCACCTACCATCCTTATAAATTGAAACTATACAAGTATCTTTTCAAAATAGCTGCCCAAGAAAAAGCATATAAAAATACATTAGCAGCTATGTTGGGCTTGTGTTTCTTGACTCAAACAAACTACCCTTTCTTGGCTAATGTTTCCAAGAACTTCAATTTATGTGGACTGTATGCAAAAATAACAATTTAACTGCCTTTGAGTTAATGCTGCCATGTAGGTTTTGCACCCATGTTTGACCATCCAGACACCAGAAACCAACATTCGAAGTCATACACAAACTCCATTCCTGAAATTCATCACTTGTGAGCTTGTTAAGACTGTTAATGTCAAGAACTTGCCTTGTTTCCCCAACCTAGAGGACGGTTGATTTGTCAGACATTACCTCTGTAGTAGTTCAGGATACCGATGCCCGAATTGATTGGTGGGGGAGGGATCATAACTGCATAATTTCTGATGTATTATAACCATTGTTTTGAGAATGAATCAAATGCAAAATGAGACCAACTCTTCCTTTACAAGAAGACGAGAAAAAAAGGTAGAGATTTAAAAGCAGCAAATTGAATTCTAATTCACTGAGAAAAGTTTTGATATATTACCAAATCTGTCTAGCTATAAACATTTTCCACGTAAATATCGATTTCAAATGACATTACTGATATTGTAATTATGTTATGCAGCAAATTATGTGAATATAAATGTTAAATGGTTACAATCACTGTTGATAAAAGTGGAAAGAGATGAGAGAGAGAGAGAGAAGATAAATGAGAGAAAATGATGGAAGCGGGAACCAATCCTTGAACAAAATCAGCTTAGCGTCTGAATGCTATCTATAAAGCTAGTAACAAGACTATAAATAGGCAACTTCTAACACTATTTGCAAAAGCAAGTTACTTAAGTTTACATTCCTATAAGCAAAATAGAAATAGACAAAATAACTAATTGCAGTAATACTTAATTAAGCACCAACAGACTTCATATCAAGAAAATTAGTTTGTTTAGATTTCAGTTTCCATAGGGGTCAAGTTTCCTCCAAACATGCAAGTTTGTTTTAACACATCGACAGAAGCAGTTGCACTACACTTTTTGTTAACCTTGATTGTTGTGGTAGCAATCTGTATAACAAAGTTTAAGGCTGTGTTTGAACCTTTAAGGTTTCTTCATAGCTCCATTATATACAGCATTGGCTCGACTACCTATACAAATAGCTTAGACAAAGTTTTCTTCTTGATATTGGCCTCAACAAAAAGCTACAAAAGGGAAAGATAGAATTAACCACCAAAAAGCAGTAATTTTGACTACAGATCCTATTCATTGAGGCCAGACCTGAAGTTAACTGTTGTCGATTTATGTGAATCATCACATCTTCCTTACATATTATGATACTGTGGCAGAGTTATTGGACTTAGAACTGTATTCTTCCACAAACATCATTTCTTGTACTTGTCATATGAAATTTGCTTGGAGATGCTGCTTATATTTGGCTACTACAGGAGGGCACGTTGTATGCTCTTCCATAACCCCCCATTTGCCTTACTATAGGTCTGTCAATGTTGAATCCGCCAAATTTTGTTTTAACTTTTATTACCGTTCCTGATACAGCAGAAACCTTAAACTTGGGAACCTATGGGTTTTTAAGATTTTAAGTACCCATGTTTCCTGAAGAATTTAAATATGCCCCCTATCCCTATATAGAGCAAAAGAGCGGCTGGAGTTCAATTGAGTCCTAGCAAGACTCAAATTATAGCAAGAGGTTGTGAAAGATAAAATATTGTGGTTTGGAATATAGTTTGAGCCACTATGGGTTTTAAGGTCTTGAAAGCGGTACATGTTTGGTTATGGGTATGTTTTCATCACTATTGAAGACTTAAAAGTGGGCAATGGTCATTTCCAGAATATAAAAGCATGAAAAACCGACAAAATGAAATAAATAAATAAATAAATAAAGAAGACACGCAGCAGGCCTCATTGTTGTCCTCTTCTCTGCATCACTTTTCTGCCCATCTCTCCTATCTTCATGGCTCTCTAATCTTTCCACTCCTAAACCCCTTGCTCGCTCCCTTCCCTCCGCCACTATTCATTCCTGTCTGTGCTTTTGTTCTCCCCCAACCTCCTCACTAGTAGAAGGCAACACTTGGTTGTTATGGCTGCCATGACTTTTTGTTTTTGGTCTATATATGTAGTTTGAATATAATATTTTGTAGTTAAATACCACTATTCAACCTGTTTTTATAAGTCTTGGGACTTTCCCGTAAACATCAGTAGACTGAGCTTGACCTTAGTATAGTTCTTATTTGCCTAAATGTGATTCAAGCTTATGGGACTGATGTTTGTCGATTGACTATCTATTTTGCTGTATTACCATGGAGACAATCATTTTGATGTCTTGATTTGGTTGGATGCAGCCTCAAGATGTTTATTGCTGGTTTTGGCCTTTTCCCTTGAGTTTTTGTTAATTTTGATTTAAAAAAAAATTTTGAGATCAATGGAGAATTTGAAGTATGGTCATGCTGAAGTTGTTGAGGGTAGTCAATTGCCAGCGATTACCGAAAGTTGATATTGGCCGAGGAGATGTCATTTAAGTTTTTTCTAGTTTAGGTTTTATTGTTGAAACAGATAAAACTAAAAACAGTGATCACAATTGCAGTGAAAATACCAAAAATAATTTTCAGAAAAAGGAATTCTTATAAACATATTACCATTTGAGGGGGTCATTATCGTTGTCATTTCATAGCTTGTGCCAAATGTCTAGTAGGCCTGCTAACATCTTCTTTTAACCTTTTTGTCAAAAGGTTACACAATTGGATTTTGAAGTTTATATATGTCGAATCATTATTATGGGAGTACATCATCATGAGCTTTCACTAATCTCCTCTAACTCTTCTTTTGATCTCTAGAATTTTGTTTAGCTTTAAAAATCATTTTTCTATTAATTAGGAAAATATTTAAGAAACCTAAACAAAGTGTAAAATAGATCAGAAAACAGCTGAAGGGTGATCTGAACTACAGGTTTTTTGGGATCTTAATCGAGTAGCTCTTTAGGTAAAATGACAAGGATGGATTGTGTCTCTATTGGTGGAATAAATTTTATGCTTTGTCATCAGTGATAATATACATTTCCAAACTACTTGTAGCATGACTGTAGCGAAATTTTGTAACAAAAATTTTAAAGAGATACAAAAACTTCCAAACTCTGAGAGGAGGCAACTGTATATTAGCGGACAATTTAAAGCTCTCTCGCTTCATAATACCCATTGAGAATGCAAAAGTAGACAAAGGTAGAGAAAAAACTGAGAACTAACACAATCACTGAAAATAAATTGTATACTTTAGAGGGTGTGATACCAATTGATGCAAGGCAAGATGGTTCAAGAGGAAGAGGAGAGAAGAAAGAAGGAGAACAAAGTACCAACTGGCACAAGAAAATGAACTGAATAAATGCAACTCTGTCTGCAAAGGTCACTACTGGATTTTTAATAGGTAATTGCTAACCTCAACTCTACAATGAGAGACAGCTGGCATAATTAATTTTACCAACTAAATCAGTTTAACTAAGCTACTATATGCAGACATAAATTAATAGCACAGTAGGACACTTCAGAC